TTGTTGATAACTTTGATGATATGAATTTAAAGGAGTCTCTTCTTCGGGGCATCTATGCTTACGGTTTTGAGAAGCCTTCAGCTATTCAGCAAAGAGCTATTATTCCTTGCATTAAAGGTAAAGGAAAACGCGTTGGCATTTGGAAAGAATTGACTGTTGATATAGGCCTGGACCATAAAAGGGAACATTAGCCCTGGGGGAGTAACACCTGTTTGTATTCCGTAAAGTGAAATGATGGCAATCATCTTTCGGGACTGACCTGAAATGACAGAATACTCATTGCTGATCACTTGATTATTGGGGCATTAATTTCTGTGCCAAATGGAATACATGGTGTGAAGTAGAAGTGGTAATTTGTGGGATCGGTAAATATGTATCCTACTTTTTTTAGGGTATGATGTGATTGCTCAAGCTCAGTCAGGTACTGGCAAGACAGCCACATTTGCTATTTCCATCCTGCAACAGTTGGAGATTGAGTTCAAGGAGACCCAAGCACTAGTATTGGCCCCCACCAGAGAACTGGCTCAACAGGTATTGATAGCGTAGTTCCAAAAACTGCTTGCGTGTTGCATAGGTTTCAGGTTTCACAACTGTGAAGAATTCAAAATACAGGGTAAATTAGGCCTGTTAGAGCCCTTGTAATTGTCCATGCATGCAGGGAGTTTGGTACAAGTTAAACAGGAACTGGGTGTATAGTTGTAATGTGTTGGGTTACCTACCCACCGATTGAGATAATCAGGGTGCCCCAGATCTATATTCATTTTTAAAAAGTAGATGCAGTTGTGCAACATGAAAACTGCAGTGACATGTTATCACTTGACTGTCTCAGTAGTTTGTGATGCATCTGTTGCATGCTATGTTTTCAAAGCTTAACTGTTAACATTGGCTTTGAAGTAAATAAACCCTCCTAATAAAGCTGTAGGCTTTATTGATGTCACAATCATGAAAACGCTCTGTAGGGGAAAATATTTGTCTTGATTATAATTACAGAACTTGAATAACTATACCTTCCTACACAGTGAAGCATCATGTAGGAAATGTTGCTTATGAAATTGCCTAGCAGATAGATAATCTGGGGCAACAGCAGTCAGCTATTAGACATGAGAAAATCATGAAGGGAATTGTATTTAGAGGCAGTTAAGTTGGTCTGCAGTTTAAGCTTGGAAGTAGTTTGTGCTGTGCATGCATAAAAGCTGTTGGCAGATATTTGCCATTATGCTTTGGCAGTTAGTCATAGAAACTGTAATTCTGCACGGTGATAACTACAGCTTTTGGCTTGTAGATCCAAAAGGTAATTCTGGCCCTTGGAGACTATATGGGAGCAACTTGCCATGCCTGCATTGGAGGAACAAACGTTAGAAATGAAATGCAAAAGTTGCAGGCTGAAGCACCACATATCGTTGTTGGTACACCAGGCAGAGTATTTGATATGTTAAACAGAAGATACCTTTGTAAGTATTTGAGTACTACTGCTTGTATTTGTTAGTGTTGACAGCAGAAAAGAAGTTAAGAGAACTTTTTTTTTCCTGTGGCAGCTCCAAAATGGATCAAAATGTTTGTTTTGGATGAAGCAGATGAAATGCTGAGCCGGGGGTTTAAGGATCAAATTTATGAAATTTTCCAAAAACTAAATACTAGTATTCAGGTGAGTCCGTATTTAGGGATATTTGTATCCCTGGTACTCTTGTAAGTTTGGTTTGATGCAGGAAATGTTACAATACAACTGAAGTGTTTTATTGTCGTTCCCCCTGCTTACAGCATATGATTCATACTATCTCTGTCTAGCTCCAATTCATAGTAGGACAGAGACGCTTGGTCTCGAACAGTTCTCATACATATTGATGTGAAAATGTGGTATTTGCTGATATGACAGTACAGTGATTGTCTTAAAGGTTGTGCTGCTGTCTGCCACAATGCCAACTGATGTTTTAGAAGTGACCAAAAAATTTATGAGAGATCCAATTCGAATTCTGGTGAAAAAGGAGGAATTGACCCTTGAAGGAATCAAACAGTTCTACATCAATGTTGAACGAGAGGTAATCTCATCCACATAAAAATGTATACATTTTTGACCTTCTTGTATAAGCACTGTGCTAAAATTACAGAAACCGGGACCATGTCTTGGTTTCTGTAATAATGCTAGCAGAGTACACACAGGAAGAAAAATAACTGCACTAGATTTTGAAAGACTGGGGTGGACCTCTTTCTTAATGTCCAATGTCCTTTGTCTTAAAATCTGGTGCAATATGTATTTTGACAATCAAATGTCATAACTGATGTAAGAACTCAAGTGACTTAATTTTGTCTTGGGAATATTGCAGGAATGGAAGTTGGATACACTTTGTGACTTGTATGAAACATTGACCATTACGCAGGCTGTTATTTTTCTCAATACAAGGCGCAAAGTAGACTGGCTCACTGAGAAAATGCATGCCAGGGACTTCACAGTTTCTGCTCTGGTAAGCAGTGCTTCACTTTGTTAAATTTTAGCAAGCAGGATTCAGACTACAATATAGCTGTTCAGTGCTGTGTTGTCGTTCCCCCTGCTCAAAATAAGGTTGTTTCTTACTATACCTGTCTGCTATCCCTTTGTAGCAGCCAGGGACGCTTGGTCTCATACATGTTATAACATTGTCATCTGACCCAGTGATGTGAATAAAGGTTTATTAATTTACAGCATGGTGACATGGACCAGAAGGAAAGAGATGTCATCATGAGAGAATTCCGATCAGGCTCAAGCCGTGTTCTGATCACTACCGACTTGTTGGTATGTCTCCGCTACTGTCCTCAGCCTACCAAAAGCTATCATTTTTTGGAGAAGGTTTTGTTAATAACCTTTACCAACTTTGGCTGTTTGGGAGAATAAAGAAAAAGACCACACTCCACAGTGGGCTCATACCACTTAGTATAGTTCACTACTATTTTGTGGCCTACATTCCATTTTTTGGTTTATTTGGGAAGGATTGTGAACATATGCCATTGTGTTTCAGGCTCGTGGGATTGATGTACAACAAGTATCTTTGGTCATAAACTATGATCTACCTACCAATCGTGAAAACTATATTCACAGGTGAGAAGATTGTATTTTGACAGTGTAAAATTAATGCATTGCTTTCTTATTGTGATGTTTGTAAAAGGTAATGCAAATGAGACAGATTAACTAAGGTGCTTGTTGGGAAGATTGTTTCGAAAGTGGGAAAACTTGCATTGCCCGGATGGTGGCCATTGGTACAGGCGAGACTGCTTTAGATCTGTTGGTCTTGGTTTGAGCTTGTATAGTGTTGCTCTTGTATCCATGTGCTTTTTTCTTTGTGACTTCTATGGTTGGGATTTTCTTGGTGTCGCCTGGTAGCATTTTGAGTGATCCCTGGTTAGTTATAGTGGCTTTATCCCTAAGTAAATTGAATTGCACTTTGTTATGTGATGTAAAAAAAGACTTTTTAAAAAATACAGGAGTCGATAGCAGCAGTTGATGAGACGAGATGGCACTCAGAAACGGCGTTGACGTAATTTAGGACGTGGAATCATAAGCGAAACAGCACTGTTTGAATAAAGAGCGAGTCGGTATTTATATTTGTTTTTCTTTTGTCATGATTATTTTTAAGTTGCTCCAGCCAAGGCATTTTATAGCAGTTTTAGGGAGAGAATTGATGAGGTGGTTTGTGAGGTTGTGGTTTCTGTGAGGAAGGAAGGTTATAGGGCTGTTATTGGTGGTAACACGTTTTTGAGTAATTTTCAGTTAAAACGTGTGAGACTGAGCAAAAGCAGTGATAAGTTTGGGTCACCATACCAAATTTCTTTTCCCACTGGAGACAAGATAACCTTGTAGCATTTGTATTTGCAGTTTTCAGTTCCAGAAGTGCGTCGAAATGGATTACATAACTGTTTCTATCCCTGGTGTTTACATCTGTCCCAGGCTGACACCTGCTCTTGGCTGGCCCACTTTGGTATGGGCTTTAATTTCACTACCCCAAACACAGTACTGTCATCTGCTTTATAACAATGCTCAAGACTCCTGATAAAATCTCATTTTGCAGCCAGAAAAGCTTTTCAATCCTTTTGGCACTAACTGCAAAGGAAGATTTTTTTTTCCTCTACATGTTGGTTAGCAGGTAGTGCTCCAATTGTAAGCACGAACTATAACCATAAGTAAACAGCAGCTGATGGTTAACAAGTGGATCGTCATGTTCAGTAGTCCACCGGTGTGAGAAATAATTCTGATTGATGCTTTGCTTTCTTTTTTACACAGAATTGGCAGAGGGGGTCGATTTGGGAGGAAAGGTGTGGCTATAAACTTTGTTACTGAAGAAGACAAGAGGATTCTTCGTGACATTGAGACTTTCTACAATACTACAGTGGAGGAGATGCCCATGAATGTGGCTGACCTTATTTAATTCCTGGGATGAGATAGTTTGAATGCTGTGCTCGCTGCTGCCGAATAGGCGATCACAACGTGGCATTGTGCTTCTTTCTTTGGGAATATTTGAATCTTGTCTCAATGCTCATAACGGATCAGAAATACAGATTTTGATAGCAAAGCGACATTAGTCGTGAGCTCTTGTGAGGAGGAAGGTCACTGGCTTTTTCCTCTAGAGTTAGACTGTTGGGGTGGGTATAAAAGATGGGGTCTGTAAAATCTTTCTTCCTTAGACATTTATTTCCTAGTTCTGTAGAAATGGTTGTATTAGATGTTCTGTATCATTTAATAATATACTTGTGGACTAAAAGATATAAGTGCTGTATAAAATCAGCCAATTATGTTAAACTAGCATACCTGCCTTTATTGTGTTTGTCATTAGCCTAAATAGAAAGGCCTTTAAAACTGATTTTTTTTTTAAGGAAAGCATTTGAATGCATTTTGTTTGGTATTGTATTTATTCAATAAAGTATTTAATTAGTGCTAAGTGTGAACTGGACCCTGTTGCTAGCCCCAGCGAGCAATCATCTTAGGTAGGGTTTAAATCCTCAGTAAAATTGCCATATTGCACATGTCTTAATGAAGTTTGAATGTTAAATAAATTGTATATTCACTTTAAGGTTCTTGACTTTTTATTTTGCCATAAAAAATTAAGCATTAGCAGTTTTGAGTTAGTTGCTGCATCACAGTTGCACAAAGACTGATCAATTGCAAGTGTTCATCCGCACCATCTGCCAGGCACTTGTCAACTTCCTGTAACAAAGAAACAGAAGTTAGAAGTTAGTACAGGCACAGCTAGGCACCTTAAAGGGCACGTGCAAAATGCTTACTTACAGCAAGTTTTTCTGTAATGATGGACTTTTGATTATCAGAAAGGTTGGCGTTTTCCACAACTACATCATGAAGCTGAGTTACAACCTGAGTTGCTGCATGACCCTCATCTATTAAGTTCTGTAAAATACAAATGGGTATTTTTGTAAGGCAGTTTTCCTTCCCCCTAAGTCAGTAAAGGATCTTCACAGATCTTACCTTTACCACAGTTTCCAGTCTGTCAAAGGAGCCACCCTGACATGCAGCAAATATTCCATCAATTGTACCTGATGGTATCACCTAGAAAGTGTAGCATTGTTAGTGCCTAGGTTCGTGCAGTGACACTGTTAAATCCTACTGCAGTATCAAATCATGGACGATGTTGATATTTCCAGACATGGAGTCCATGTTTGGAAATATCTAATTATACTTGAGTGTGTAGTTATAATTAAGCCCTAAAACTATCACAGGATAACTGCTTATACAGTAAGCAAAATAAAGGAAATTGCAGAGTTCTTAAAAGGATTTTCATTGGAGATGCAGTGTTTAAAGCCAATCAGTCCAATTTCAGGCTTGTGTTCTTACCCCAGCAATGTCTGTGATAACGTTGTCTGTGACCTCCTTTCCACCAGTGAGTCTAGTAGCACTTTGAAGAAATGTAATGGCTTTTCTTAGGTCTCCTTCTGATACTTTAACAAGATAAGCTATTCCCTAGAGAGAGAGGGAGTTGTTTGTAACCTGCTTGCTTTACTGTAAAAAGGGGTGGATGTATGATTCTACCTTTCCTATCACAAAGGAAATTCAAACTTGGAATTCTCTTAAAATGAGTAGGAGCCTATATATTCCATAATGGGGGGGCGGGGGGACAATATTAGGTAAGAGACTATCAAATTCCTAATTCCTAGATTTCTGGTTACTAATTTAGGTTTGTCAAAAAATGTCAGTATCAGGACTCAAGCTACACATACAATTCTGTCAGGGTCTCACATTCATCAAAGGAATTAGTAACTGTAGTAACAGCTAGTATTTACCTCATTGCTAATCATAACATTTTCCTTCTCAGCAATCTCCAATAATCGCTGCTGTTGGATTTTATCTGACAGGGGCTTGAAGCGGAATTTTGAACACCTAGAGGTCAGAGGTTCTATTATTCTGTAAAAAGATTGCAAAAGAATGAGTTGGTATCTTAATTCCTTTTTTTCCAAGAATGGGCCCACACTGTGGTAGAGCAGTGGCCTCCACTTGTGACATCAGCATCCTTTGTGGGCACCAATTTGTGTCCCAGGCGCTCCACTTTTGATGGAGCTCCTTGCAAATGGCCCGAGAAAAGCAGCAGCAGATGGCTCTGTACCAGGGTTTACAAGTGCTGTGTTCCCCTCTCAGTGTCTCGAGGATTTATTTGACAGAAATTAGTGCAACCTTGAAGTTTTTTTTTTCCCCTCTCTTCTGGATTGAAATTGCCAAAACAAGGCTGTCTAACATCCATAGGGCAATACACCTACCGGCTGACATAGTTACAGATGAGGCAGAACCGGGTGGTTTTTGACTCTTTCTCCATGGTGCGTCGTAATGCTGCTTGAGCAGCTGAGGTCATAGAATCTGCTTCATCCAGAATCACAATCTTAAAAGGAGGACACGGCTTCCCACTGATGCAGAGAAACAAGAATTGAACACCAGCCAGTGTGTTTGTAATAGCTTTGCTGAGATACAATACCATACAGTTGTGCTCATTTAAAAAGATCTGTTCTGAGACACTTGGTACTTGGGTCAGCACTCATGTGGGAGACCTGGTTGGAGTTCTTTGCCCACGGTTATTGCAAGTATTTGGGGGAATCAATCAGCATATAGAAGGTCTTGCTCTTTTCTCCCATTCTCACTTCTAAATAACTTTAAATTCCAAACTGCAGCAACAGCTTATTCACAGCTATACAACTCTCACTACAAACTAAGAATGTCTTTACTCTAAAAACAAATTCTATACCCATTAAGAGTAACTTCCAATAAGCCATCCTCAGTCTACTTTTTGTTTGGGTTGAAGGCCAGTCAGGAAAAGCCACTGTTCCTTCTATGACAGGAGGTGGACTGAGTAGGGCTGACTGATGGACCCACTGGTAAGCGTGAAACCTGGCATTGGGAGAGGTTCTGATGGAGGAGCCTGGACAACTCCTCTGGCAGGACACAGACCCGGAAGGTAAGCACAAGAAGCAAGAAAGGAAATAGCCCAGACCAGGCCATGGAAAGTAACCCACTGGCATACAATTGGCAAGGGTCGGGGGAAGACCAGGCTGAATCTGTCCACGTCATCCACTGGCAAATCCAAACACCAGATCAGTGTGGGTCGAGCCAGGTTCGGTCGAAACAAAGACTAGTACACAATACGGAATGCCAAGGTGAGGTTGCCTGTACAGGAAGGGACCGCAGTGCCCAACCAGCAAGTGTGAGAACAAGGAAGGGAGGGGGCAGAGTTGGCAGGGGAATAAGGGAGGGTTCCTTTGCTGGACAGCTACTCCTGCTGGAGAGTGTGGGCTGGGAAGGGGGCAGACCAGACTAGGCAGGGCTACAACACCTGTACACCTCATGTGGACTAGATCAGGGAAAAGCCAGGCTGGGCTGATTATTCCTACTGGTGCAAACAAAATTAGAGTGGGTGAGGGTTGTTTGGGCTTAGCCACAGCATCAGCTGGCAAAATCTGGCACTGGGGGCAGGTTCTGTCAAGTCAAACCACAGAACTACCTGGAGAGTGCATAATCTGGGAGTGGGAGAGGCCTGGGAGGGAAATAGTGGGCTCCTCCCTCTTGGGTTACCACTTCCACAGGAGGGCATAAAATTAGGACAGCGGCTGGGGTGGAATGGGGATGTGAGACAGACTGGACTACTGCTACACATACTGGCAAACCAGGGTAGGGGGCGGGCCTGGTGGGGGTTATTGTGGGTCGCTCCAACTAGGCTGCAGCTCCCACTGATTTATGCAAGGGCCGAGTATGTGCTGGGCAGAACCAGGCTGGACTGCGGGACCCATTGGTTCCAGTGGAAGTCGGGGCTGGAAACAGAACCAACCCAGCAATTGCAACCACCAGCTGATCGGGGTGATGGACTGTGCCGGGCCCTGTACTTTGCTGGCATATACAAGAACCTGGTTTGAGAACACCTCAGACAAAGTTTCTTTGGAGCTCTCCCCAATCAAAACGCTGGACTCAGAACCCTAACCAAGAAAAGAGAGAAGACAGAACAGGTCAACCAACCATCTCAGCTATATCCTGGCAGTGAAATACGGGGCAGAGACTATGATGGACTATGTCAACCAGTGGATATCTCAAAGACCTCATAGTGCTTGGAGTGGCAAGATTGGCAGTGATTCATAACTGTTGAGCAAGAACCTCAGAACATACTCTACATCCAGGACCTGGGGAGGGTGGAAAATTAGGTGGGCCTTCTCCCTTAATACCCCCCTTTAAACATAAAGGAAACAATATGGGAAAAATAATAGTCTTACCCACTTTCCTGTAGCCCTCAAACCTTTTTACCCTAATTAAACTATGTAAAGATTGTTAAAAAAAAAAAGATTTATTTATTTTTATTGGAAAGGTAGATATACAGAGAGGAGGAGAGAGATGTAAGATCTTCGTCCGATGATTCACTTCCCAAGTGGCTACAAGGGCCAGAGTTGAGCTGATCTAAAGCCAGGAGCCAGGAGCTTCCTCCAGGTTTCCCACACGGATGCAGGGTCCCAAGCCCTTGGACCATCCTCCACTGCTTTCCCAGGCCACAAGCAGGGAGCTGGATGGGAAGTGGAGCTGCCGGAATTAGAACTGGCACCCATATTGGATCCTGGCACGTTCAAGGCGAGGACTTTAACCATTACCCCATCGTGCCAAGCCTGTCTATTTTGTTTCAAAAGATTTATATATCCTGGGAGCTAGTGCGATGGCTCAGTTGGTTAATCCTCCGCCTGCAGCAATGGTATTCTATATAAGTCCTGGTTTGTGTCCCAGCTGCTTCACTTCCCATCCAGCTCTCTGTTCATGACCTAGGAGAGCAGCGGAGGATGGCCCAAAGCCCTGGAATCCTGCACCAACAGGGGAGCCAGGAGGCTCAAGGCTTCAAATCGGCTCAGATCTGGCAGTTGTGGCCATTTGGGAAGTAAACTAGTGGATGGAAGCACTTTCTCTTGCTGACTCTGTGAATCTTCCAATAAAAATATAATATTTTTTCAAAATACAAGCTTTCAATGAACTTTCTGAAGATATTTCATATACACGAAATTCTAGTCCTTTATCACCAACACCTTATATTTGCCATGAACTTTTTGAAGTTATAACTTCTTAGACTGGCAGTAAAAACTCCTGATAAAAAACTAAAAATTTATTAGGGGCCAGCACAAAGGCTCAACTAGCCAATCCTTCTCCAAAAGCACCAGCATCTCATATCAGCACCAGTTAAGGTCTGGGCTGCTCCACTTCTGATCCAGCTCCCTATCATGTGGTCTGGGAAAGCAGTGGAGGATGGGCCTTGTGATCCTGAACCTGCAGGGAGACCAGAGGAGGCTCCTGGCTCTGGATTGGTGCAGCCCCAGCCGTTGTGGTCATTTGAGGAATGAACTAGTAAATGGAGGAGCTTTGTCTCTTCTGTCTGTAAATTTGCCTTTCCAATGAGATTAAAAACTTGCTATTATTATTAAAAGATCATTTTTATTCAGACCTGAGTGAGACTGGGTGAATTACAGAGAAACATCTGGAAGACTGAGGGGCTACATCTGACGAGGGACTTCTTACAGCACAGTAACATGGCAGAGGGTGTCACGGGAAGATACCAAGCCAGAGAGCTCCGGTCTGCTTCTCTCTTATAACCTCTGCTACATATATTTAAAACATTTAATGATAAATTCTGAAGAGGGAAAAGCAAGTTTACTTACTCTGAACGGCTTCCTGAAACAGTTAACTGAGCAAAATTTTTCACTTTCTCTCGAACTACTTGTATTCCACGTTCATCTGAAGCATTTAATTCAAGGACTCTTAAGCGAAAAAGTTCAGGCCTACATAAAAATCAAGCAATATAAAATCTCATGGAGCATACAAAAAAAAAAAAAAAAAAACCCAAACAAACTCGGGCTTACATCTCATCAATATCTGCATGCTTCCCAACAGTTTGCAAAACCATGTAGTACAATGTGAACAGAAAGCACACAATCCCTTCTGCATTCTTGCAGAACTGTGCAGTTAACATTTTGGCTTTTTTCCGTGCATTACCTTCCACACACACAATCATATAACACAATTTAAATCAGTTTTCCATTTAGCTATGTAACGAACAGCTTGCCTTGTTAACAAAACCATTTTAAATGCCATTTTAATAGCTGTATAATTTTTCATGTTATGACTAAAATATCATTTACTTATCGACAATATTCTTCTGCTGTTAGACATCTAGTTTTAATACTGACCTGAAAAGATGATCTAGAGAGGCAAACAATCATCCATGTACTTCTATCAGCTGACTTACTTCCCAAATGGCAACAATGATTGGGGGTGGGTTAGGGTAAAGCCAGCAGCCAGGAACTTCATCAAGGCCTCCCACATGAGTGACAGTAGCCTAAGTACTTCGATCATCCTCCACTGCTTTCCCAGGCACATTAGCAGGGAGCTGGGTCAGAAGTAGAGCAGCCAGGACTTAAAACCAGTGCCCATGTGGAATGCCAGCATTGCAGGTAGTACCTTAACTCACTTAACTCACTAAGCTTAGCTAACTGGCCTCAATGCCAGCTCCCTAGATAGCAAAATATGTTACAGCATATTTTGAATTGTTTCGATAGAATAGCTGCTATAAGGGAATTATGATGTAGGCACTGTGGTGCAGTGCATTAAGCTACAGCTTGGGAATGCCTGCATGCTAAATCAGAGTTCCAATACCAACCACAGCTACTCCATGCTTCCAATCTAGCTTCCTGCTAATGTGCCTGGAAGGTAGGCAATAACTGTCCAAATACTTGGGATTCTTACTACCCTCTGGGAGACCTGGACGGAGTTTTTTTGCTCTTTGGCTGAGTCCAGCCTCAGCTATTTGTGGGGATGCCGGGAATTGGATAGAAGATATCTCTCTCTACCTCCCAGGGTCCTGGTTCATATTAAGAAGGCATCTCAAGACTAAAACAATAGGGAGTGGTGTCTAGCCTGGTGCTTATGATGCCTGCAAACTGTATCAAGAGTGTCGAGGTTTGGCAGATATCTACTGTGGCTTTTGACTGTAGATTTCTGTTCATGTAAACACTGGCAGGCAGTGGTGACTGCTTAAGCAGTGGGGCTCCTGAAGTCCACTGGGAGACCTGGATAGCATCCTAATTCCTGGCTTTGGCTCAGCCCCAGTCATTGCATGCATCTGGAGAAGAAGCCAGTGGAAAATATCTATTTGTTTTTGCTATAGGAATAGACATTTATGGGAAGCACTGTGCATGTATTTTCAATTTATTTTTATTTTTCTATTTTAACCCACATATAAATGACACATGAAATTCACAATTAAAGCAAGTCATTCTTTAAGGACATTATTTTATAAAGCATATATAAAATGTTATGTGAACTGAACTGACTTACTACAGAATAACATAATATACCACTTAGCAGTTTCATACTGACCCCACCACTAAGGCTAGTTCAGCTTGGAACCATGTGAGTTGTAAAATGATCAAAAAGTCTCTTTAATAACTCTCTTGGGAAATAAAAGGTGCTATCACATAAATAAAACATTAGAGTAATAGCGTCTTCTTTTTTGTTTGTTTCAGTCTACTTATATTCAGGAGACAGGAAGCCAGCCTGGCCACTCCAGTCAGGGCCTGAGGATTGGCACACACACTGTATCACACACAGCCGCTTCCGTCACAGCCACACAGATGGAGAAAGGCTGGGTCCTTTGGACTCCAAGTCATACAAGTTAGAGGAAAACAAAGTGAAGCACCTGAGTAAGACTCAGTAGGCTATAAAAGATGTAGGCAAGCTAACTTTGTGGGGGAAGGTGACAGGAACAAAATGGGTCCATTGGGTTGATTTCAAAGATTCAGAAATAAAAACATTCAGTAACTCCACAGGGAAGCTAAATGCAAATTTTTAGAGGAAAATCAAATAGTCCCAGAGATGATTTTTTTTTTTTTTGTCTCAGAAATAAGAGAGATTTCAACTTACCCAAAGAGTTCTCTAGCTGCTGCCAAAATAGTGGATGTTTTCCCAGTTCCAGGTGGCCCATAAAATAAGAGATTAGGAAGCTGTAGAAATTAAAATTCTTAAATAAGTTGTAATGTGGAACAGATAAAAATGACTAAAAAAATGTTTTTAGAACACTTCAATGCCTTTCCTAATACAGAAGGTATATATGTCTTATTAAGATGTCTTTTTTTGGGCTGGCCATAAAGGCTGCTGCTGCCACAGGCAGAGGCTTAGCCAATACACCAGAGCACTGCAACCTCCAACTCTAAATTCTATGAAAATACATTCTTCAATATGTATTTTCTCTCTGTTCATTTTTCTCCAAAATATGAAACTAGGCTATTGTTATTAGAACTATTTACTGCCTCCACCCTCTACTTAGAAAAGCAAAAACAAATATGCCTAACCTGCTTACCATGGCCTAGAAGGACTTCCACGGCAGTGAGTGAGTGTGAAAATGCCAAAGAGGATGCCTGCATCCCATATGGAAATGCTTATGTTCAAATACCAGCTCTGCTTCAGGCTTCAGTTTCCTGCTAATATACACCCTCATCCCTGCCACCCATGTGGGAGATCCAGATTGAGATCTGGGCTTGTTTTTCGGTTAAAAATAAACAGATCTTAAAACAAACAATCAAAACAAATAAACCCAAAGTTCTCTGTTTACCAGATATTATTATCCATAAATTGTCACATTTCTTCGGTTTACTTGTTTTTTTTTTTAACCTCTTTTTAGATTTACTTATTTTTATTTGAAAGGCAGATTTTACAGAGCGAAAAGAGAGAGAGAGAATATCACTGATTCATTCCCCAAATGGCTGCAATGGCCAGAACTGAGCTGATGTGAAAGCCAGGCGTTTCCTCTGCGTCTCCCATGTGGGGACAAGGGACTTGACCCATCCTCTTCTGCCTCCCAAGTCATAAGCAGGGAGCTGGATCAGAAGTGGAGCAGCTGGGACAAGATCTGGTGCCTAAACAGGCAGCTGATGCTGCAGGTAAAAGATTAGCTTTCTAAGCCACTGCCCTGGCTCCCTACTATTTTTTTGTTGTTGTTGTTGTTCTCACTATCCCAATGAAAGCTCACGAAAATAACGTACCTAATCTGTTTGATTCAGTGGTATTTACTTAGATACTATATAGCATTGCTACAGAGGACTGAGTGAGAGAGGCTTAGTACTTTTGAACTCATCATTGCTGTAGGAGCAGCTACAAAAGACCAAACAGCATGATATTTGATGGAGTCAGGAGGGTACAAAGGAAGAGAGTGAATAAACTGAATCTTAAATTTTCGCAGTGACAGTAAACAACATTTGTTACTTACATCAGCTCCTTCTAAAGACTTTTTCAGCACAGCAACCACTTCTTCCTGGAAGGCAACTTCATCCACACACTTTGGGCGACTAGGGAGTAAGACAGGTATATACTCTCAGTATATACTCAGTATATACAACGGCTAGAGAAAAGTCCCAAATGTCCCTTCTGCTGAAACACCAACAATGATTCTTACATATTAGTAATGAAAAACTCTCAGAATTGGAACCAAATGGAAATCCATTCATGTTCACATTAAGCAAATATAAATATTGAATATTGCATATACCTGTTCTGCTTCAAAAAATTAAACAAAAGGATTATACCTCAAGTGCTAACTGGTTAATAAACACTTGCTGAGAAAACAGAATGTTTTTCTGACAAGTTATTGAATGTAAGTTGGAAATGGAAAATTTAATAACTGAAGGATAGAAAATCATTTTGGTTAATATGTGTACGATGTTTTGTTAATACTGACTTTTGTATCACCAAACTGCATCCACAAAAAAAAAAAAGCCTATTCACCTACTGGAACCCAAACAAAATAACAAGTATAACCAATAAGAAGTTAATAATATATAATTTCCATCTTACATTATTAGTGATTTTAGGAGAAGCTAGGCCAAAGTTACATTCTTAACCCTACACAATTGGGCTCTGAGTTTAGTTAACTGACTCAAATTTAACGCTAGAAAAGAATTATTTCAGGCCCGGCGCGGTGGCGCAAGTGGTTAAGGTCCTCGCCTTGCATGCCCGAGATCCCATATGGGCGCTGGTTCTAATCCCGGCAGCCCCTCTTCCCTTCCAGCTCTCCCTGCCTAAGGCCCGGGAAAGCAGTCGAGGACGGCCCAAGGCTTTGGGACCCTGCACCCGCATGGGAGACCCGGAAGAGGCTCCTGGCTTCAGATCGGCATAGCATCGGTTGCTGCGCTCACTTAGGGAGTGAATCATCTTCCTCTCTGTCTCTCCTCTCTGTATATCCGCCTTTCCAATAAAAAAAATAATAAAAATAAATCTTTAAAAAAAAAATTATTTCAAAGCATGTTCTTTCACAGAAACCTGGGTTGTTTTTTTTTTTTTTTTAAAGATTTATTTTTATTATTTTTTCATTGGAAAGGCGGATATACAGAGAGGAGAGACAGAGAGGAAGGTCTTCCGTCCGATGATTCACTCCCCAAGTGAGCGCAACGGGCCGATACTATGCCGATCCGAAGCCAGGAGCCTCTTCCGGGTCTCCCACGCGGGTGCAGGTTCCCAAAGCTTTGGGCTGTCCTCGACTGCTTTCCCAGGCCACAGGCAGGGAGCTGGAAGGGAAGCGGGGCTGCCGGGATTAGAACCGGCGCCCATATGGGATCCCGGGCGTGCAAGGCGAGGACCTTTAACCACTTGTGCCACCGCGCCGGGCCCCTGGGTTTTTTTTTTAAAGATTTATTTTTATTGGAAAGTCAGATATACAGAGAGGAGGAGAGACAGAGAGGAAGATCTTCCATCTGTTGAGTCACTCCCCAAACAGCTGCAACAGCCCAAGCTGAGCCAATCTGAAGCCAGGAGCTTGGAGTTTCTTCTGGTTCTCCCACACGGGTTCTGGGTCCCAAGGTTTTAAGCTGTAACCTCTACTGCTCACCCAGGCCACAGCAGGGAGCTGGATGGGAAGTGGGGCTGCCAGGAGTAGAATCAGCACCCATTTAGGATCCTGACACGTGCAAGGCAAGGCCTTTAGCCACTAGGCTACCGTGCCAGGCCCCAAAGCTTTGTTATTTTATAGAGCCTGTTCTCACATTCAAGTACACCTGTAGTGGCAGCGCCTGGGCAAGCGCTGTGGGTAGTAGTACTGTGGCAGAAGGAGGCAAGTGACTTCTGAAGTGAGGAGCATTAGTGTGGCCTGCTCTCCTTAGAGGATGAAAAATCCCCTGCACGGTCTTTTAGTTTCAAAAGTCTAGATGTTTATCAACACTACAGTGCCCAGGAAGACCATGAATGCTGCCTTCTATGGACTGGAAGTTATCTGCAAACCCGCGAGTAACTGACACAGTGGATATGATTATTTGCCATAATACCTGGCTACTAACTTAGGCACCACTCCAAATATCTCTGCCAAAAACAAATAAAACCGGCGCGGCACGGTGGCGCAGTGGTTAAGGTCCTCGACTTGCACGCCTGGGATCCCATATGGGCGCCGGTTCTAATGCCGGCGGCTCCGCTTCCCTTCCAGCTCCCTGCCTGTGGCTCAGGAAAGCAGTCGAGGACAGCCCAAAGCTTTGGGACCCTGCACCCGCGTGGGAGATCCAGAAGAGGCTCCTGGCTTCAGATTGGCATAGCACCAATCGTTGCGCTCACTTGGGGAGTGAATCATCGGACGGAAGATCTTCCTCTCTGTCTCTCCTCCTCTCTGTATATCCGCCTTTCCAATAAATAAATAAATAAAATAAAAAAAAAAATAAAACCCAGATCACTTCCACCTTCACTAGCACAAAGACAGGCAGATTGTTTGGACTTCAGTGCAACCTCTGACATAGACCTACAGCCAGGGTATAGCAACATCCATTCCTTTTTCCTTTTCTTTTTTTTAAAGATCTATTTACTTTTATTGGAAAGGCAGATATAGAGAGAGGAGGAAAGACAGGAAGATCTTTCGTCCGATGATTCACTCCCCAATTGGCCGCAGTTGCTGGAGCTAAGCCAATCCGAAGCCAGAAGCCAGGAGCTTCTTCCAGGTGTCCCACATAGGTGCAGAGTCCCAAGTCTTTGAGTTGTCCTCGACTGTTTTCCCAGGCCACAGGCAGGGAGCAGGATGGGAAGTGGGGCTGCTGGGATACAAACTGGTGTCCGTATGGGATCCCGGTGCATTCAATTCGAGGACTTTAACCACTACGCTGTCACACCGGGCCCACAACATCCATGTCTTCATTACTAATCCCACCCCTAATATGGTAGATTTTAGTTGTAGAGAAGACCTCAATTCATCTCTAAAACAAGGGAATTCAACTAGATCTTTCTCAGGTCCCTGACACAGTTGGGTGAACACCACTTAAAGAAAGCCAAATAAAAACCAAGTGATGAGACCTGGGAAGAAAGGTCACTTATCAGTGCAATCGACAGAAGTGCAGGCGTTCTTACTATTTCTCCACCCAGGGCACGGGTTTGGCCTTCTTGGCTTCTCCGCTGCTCCCTGCAGCTGCAGTCACTGCTCGATCCTTGGCCGGTGGGGGTTTAGTGCTGAGAGACGTGCCTTTGAGAAAGGCCTGCATGGCTGCTTCACGCTGCCCAGCTGCAAGACAGAAAACACCTTCTGGAAACGTTGTAAGGAAGCACAACCTAAAAGGATAAGCATGTTGCATGCAGGCATTCACTAATGACTTAACAAAGGCCCTCAGCTCATGACCCATGTGGCTCTGCATCACTGTAATCGCCGGTGCAAGTCCTAAAGGAACTCAGAAACCTTTCACAGGGCGACAGTTCTAGAACAAAACCAAGCTGTCAGAAAAGCAAGAATTTGTGGCCATGTAATAAAAACGATGTCACTGGACTTGGACTTCTGAATTCTCCAGGCAAACCTAGAACTTAGCAATCAAGAGTGCTGGGACCACAGTGACCGCCCATCCCTTGGCCCAAGCTCCACTCCCAGCCTGCATGTGTCAGTGGCTGGGCCAAGGCTTGTCTTCAGGGACTTCAGGGAAGGGAGAAAGGAGGACTCTTGGTAAAATGGAAACAGCTATAGGGAATGTGACACGCAAGCTAATCCTCTGCCTGCAGTGCTGGCATCCCAGATGGGCCCCAGTTCATATCTTGGCTGCTCCACTTCCCAGCCAGCTGCCTTGCTTGTGGGCTGAGAAAGTGGTGGTGGATGACCCAAAGCCTTGGGACCCTGCACCCACGTGGGAGACCCAGAAGTATCTCCTGGCTTGGGATCAGCTCCTGCCATTGTGGTCATTTGGGGAGTGAACCAGTGGATGGAGAATCTTTTTTTCTATCTCCCTTTTTTCCAATAGCAAACTCCTTGGGAGGAATCAAAACAATGTACAAAGTTGGGGTCTTTCACAAATCACCACTAACATTTAAGTAAACATTCAGACTGTTAGGGATTTAAAAAAAAAAAAAAGGCATCCATAAACTTGCCAGAAAATCCTTCACATTATCAAGTGTTGTTTCGCTGTCTCAGGGGTTGGGACATAGTAGATGCCCCCTAATTACTCTGGTGGATGAATGGGGGCACCCCAAGACTCAGTTCCCCTTTCTTGCATAAGGGGCTAAGAACTACTGCCTAAGGCAATTGTAATTAAAGAAGGTGGGCACACGGGTAGCTCTGTGCGTGGCATATGGGCCGTAGACTCAATAAAACGAAATATACTGCTCAGACCTGCGGCCAACCCAACTTTCTAACTGCACATCCTGAAGCGGGGGCTGCAAGGGGCAGCACCGAGTCCCTGGCCCCAGACCCAGACGTGACAGCCTCCCCAGGGGCATCAGGGCGAGGTGGGGAGGGCGAAGGCAAAGCTCGCAAGGATAACCCAGCTTCCCCGCGCCGGCACCTGCTGCTTCCTTCTCGCGCTGCCGGCTTGCTCCTGGGCTGTCCGGGAGAGGAAGTGGTCGCGAGGCCTCCGCCGCGTTCCCCAAGTCGAGAGGAACGGGCCCAGTAGACTCGGATCCCGGCGAGGTCCACGGCCGCCTCAGTTCCCGCCACGAACTGCCGCCCGGAGCAGGGCGGGAAGCCGCGAGCACGAATTGCGTCACTTCCGGCGCGGGCGGGCGCCGCCGCGAGGGTCTGAGGGTGTTCTGCGGCAGGTCGGGTTATGGAGACATCATGGCTCTCTGAGATACGTGGCCTGGACAGGCGTGACCTTGTTCTCAGCTCCCACTCGAGACTGCAGGGGCAAGCATTGGAGGGATGGAATGGGGGGGCCGGCGTGGGCACTGGTTTGGGTGCTAGGCGACGTGGGCAGGCCACCGAAGTCTGAGGAAACCCGCTGGATTAGGTCTGGCGTGCTGCTCTCGGCTTACTGGGGGCTTCGTGAGTTTTCTCGCTGGCATTTCTGGGCGACCGCATTGGCGGGCTTGCTTCATCCTTTGGGACCGGGGTTAGGAAGTGAGGACTCGATCTTGCGTCAGAAGAGGGCGCCCTGTGGCTCCCCGTGCTTCCCGTCCTGCTTTGAGGTAGCCAAGCAAGCCGAGTGTGCCCTGAAGTCCTTGCCTTGTCGGGGACACCCGTGGCTCTCGCTCAAGCAGTTAAAAATAGCGACCACCGCTTTTTTTTTTTTTTTTTTTTTTAAGCTTCGTTTTTATTGGAAGGGCAGATTGACAGAAAGAAGGGAGGATCTTTCATCTGCTGATTCACTTAGTCCCCAAAGGACCACAGTGGCCATTCCGGATCTCCCATGTGGATGCAGAGTCCCAAGGGCTTGGGTCATCCCACTCTGTTTTCCCAGGCCCCAGGCAGGGAGCTGGATGGGAAGTGGAGCAGCTGGGATATGAACCGGTCTCCCATGTTGGCCCCACGGGTATAGGCTTGGCTTGCTACACCACGATGCCAGCCCCTGAATAGTAAAGTGTTTTTAAGTTGGTAGAAATGGAATTGAAAGATCACTATGCAAATTCTACCTCCATAAAGTTGACAAAAATGAATATCTGAATTGATAGTATCCATTAGCTTCCTGAACAAACAGCGCAACTACATGCAAAGAAATAATATCATCTCAATTTACAGATAAGTAACCGGGGCTTAATGAGTAAGGTTGACTTTGTCCATTCGGGCTGCTGTAAGGTTAGAAATTTATTTCTCATAATTCCAGAAGCTGAGAAGTCAAAGATCCAAATGCTGAAAAATTCAGTGTCTTGGGAGAGCTTGTTTATGCATAGACATCTTACTGAAAATCTTGAGTGGTACACAGGGCTAATTCAATTTTTATGGACTCCTTTATTAAAGCATTAATAGGACCAAATCACACAAAACTAGCCATCTCCTAATGTAGCCAGCCTAGTTTCATTTCAGCATAGGGATTGGGAGAGGGGAGACACAAACATTCAGACCACAGCAAAAACTAGAGCAAGTAAGTGGCAAACCAAATTCACAGCTAAGGGCTGTCTGAATTCAGTTAGGGTTGATAGTCAGGCACTGGGCTGGTCTAGGCCTGGCATAGGGATGACTGGATGCCAAATCGGAAAAAGGCCTGAATGGTCTTAGAATTGACTTATGTAAAGCATCGCCTGGGGTCCGTGCTGTATGTAGTAGGTTAAGGTCCTACTGGCAGTGCCAGCATCCCATGTGGGTGCCACCCCACTTCCATCCAACTCCTTGCTAATGCGTCTCGGAGAGTAGTGAAGGACAGCCCAACTGCTTGAGTCCCTGAACCCCTGTGGGAGACTCAGAAGAAGCTCCTGGCTCTGGTCTGACCAGCCCTGAATATTGTGGCCATTTGGGGAGTGAACCTGTGGATGGAAGATATCTGTCTGACTTTCCAATAAACAAAAAAAATCTAAAAAAAAATCTGTTTAATTGAAAGGATGGGTGATTAAAAAAGAGAGTGAAAGAAACAAGGAGACATAAGAAAAGAAGAGAAGAAAAGAAAAAAAAAAAACAGGAAGACAGACAGTTAATTCTTCTATCCATGGATTTACTCCCTAAATGGCAGCAATGGCCCGGTCCGATCCAAGCTGAAGCCAGGAGCCTGAACTCCATCTGGATCCCTTATGTGGGTGGCAGGAGCCCAGTCTAGATGCTTAGACCATCCTCTGTTGCTTTCTCAGGCACATTAGCAAGGAGATGAATCAGAAACAGAGTACCCGGGACTTGAACAGGCACCCAATATAGAATACCAGCATTGAGAGTGTCAGCTTTACTCACTGTGCCTCTATTCTAATCCTTGCTTTCTTGAGCAAATATTGTTTCTCTAAAATAAATAGCAAATACCTTAGAGTGCTTATAGATTACTGGTGTTTTTTAGTTTTCTACAAGGTTTTACAACTTTTTAATAGAAATGTACCAGTTCCCTCTCAATGACTATTGGAACTGTATTTTCTCTTGACTCTTGATTGGTTTGCAGAGGAAAAACACACTTAGAGACACATTGATCTACACTGTAATGTATAAGTCTAAACTCTGATTTACAGAGTACACCTCTGCACAGAGTTCTGAGCCAGCTCAGTAAGAGGTGAATTCTGAGATCACTGCCTTCATGAGAGCTAGGTAGCTCCTGGGGCTGATTAGGCAGAAATTAGCCCTGTGGCTTAACACCCCCTGAGGCAGGAGCAGTCAGCCATGCTTTGGAGGTCCCTCAGACCCAGGATGGAGCCCAGCTCAATGTGCCTTCCATTCTTCTTCTTGTTCTCCTTTTAAATAATTTACCTGAGAGGCATAGACAGACAAAGCTCCCAAACGCCTGCAACAGCTGGGGCTAGGCCAAGGCCAAAAGTAGGAGCCAGGAATGCAATACAGATCTGCCCCATGGTGCATGCATTGTCACTGCCACCTCCCAAGGCCTGCATGAGCTGGAAGCTGGGAATCAGATGGAGAACTCTGATATGGGAGGCATCTTGACCATAGGCCTAATGCCTGCTGCTTGCCTTCAATTCTTAAGCTTTCACTGTGTGGAAAGGGGGTAGCCCCCTTGGAGTCTTTCTGTGAGGATTAAATGAAATGGTGCTCCAGGCCTAGTAGCTGGCTCACAGGAAACTTGACTCTTGCTGGCACCATGGTGCCTCCAGTGTTCTCTAGAGCAACAGAAGTAAGCCCAGATACTGTCCTTAGATGTTCAGTAGATGATCTACTGAAGAGAGCTCCAGAAATCCAGGCTGAATACACACTAGAAATGGTTCTGAGATCTGTGGACAGCTTCACTTTTATCACCATTAGGTGAGACAAAAAGCTAGAAGGGACTTAACCAAAACTATACTTTTACCCTTTAAAGTTTACTAGGAGAAAAGCTGCCCTCTGCCTAGCACCATCTAGAGTAGCTCCATCTGCCTCCTAGTGGACAGAAAAGGAAAAAGTCCAGCCTTGCTGTCAATAACCATTATTTTAAAAACAAATGTTTTCTGACTGTACAACTTAAACTCTCTACTAAGTTCATAACAGATTTGCTTATTTGTGTAAGAGAAAACAACAGGAAACTTTAACTGACGTAGCCTAAGAAACAAAAACTTAGCAACAGGCCCGGCACGGTGGCGCAGTGGTTAAGGTCCTCGCCTTGCACGCCCGGGATCCCATATGGGCGCCGGTTCTAATCCCGGCAGCCCCACTCCCCTTCCAGCTCCCTGCCTGTGGCCCGGGAAAGCAGTCGAGGACGGCCCAAAGCTTTGGGACCCTGCACCCGTGTGGGAGACCCGGAAGAGGCTCCTGGCTTTGGATCGGCATAGTATCGGCCCATTGCGCTCACTTGGGAAGTGAATCATTGGACGGAAGATCTTCCTCTCTCTCTCTCTCCTCTCTGTATATCCGCCTTTCCAATGAAAAAAATAATAAAAATAAATCTTTAAAAAAAAACCTTAGCGACAGTTCCCTCTGTATGATGGCTCAAATTAGGATTTTTCAACTTTGACAGATTTGGTAAAAGCCATATTTTGGATTGTGATTTTCTTCAGACTAGAGGTAGGCTATTGGCTGTAGAGTGATGTCTTACAGCGCAGGGTGCAATCCTGAGGGTGAATAGTCAGCACTGTCTAATGAACCAGGCTGCCAGTAGCCTTTTAGACACAGATATTTGATAAATTATGTAAGATAATCAACAACTTATTTTACAATAGCCTTCATGTTAGATGGTTTTTCCCAACTGTAGGCTAGTGTGTTTTCTGAACATGTTTTACGTAGGATAGGTTAAGCTATTGGGGTTGATGAATTAGATATATTAAATACATTTTTGAATTATGATATTTTAAACTTATGGATTTTTTGCAATTTAAAGAAAAAATTTATTGGAGATCTGAAAACAAACACCTAAAAGATCAACATTTCCGTAAAACTGGGCCTGGCTCAGTAGCCTAGTGGCTAAAGTCTTTGCCTTGCCTGCACCAGGATCCCATATGGGTGCCAGTTGGTGTCCTGGATGCTCCACTTCATATTCAGCTCCATGTTTGTGGCCTGAAAAAGCAGTTGAGGACAGCCCAAAGCCTTGGGACTCTGTACCCTCCAGGGAGACCTGGAAGAGGCTCCTGGCTTCAGATCAGCTCAGCTTTGGCCGTTGCGGCTACTTGGGAAGTGAATCATTGGATGAAAGATCTTCTTTTGTGTTTCTCCTCCTCTCTGTATATCTGACTTTCCAATACAAATAAATAAATCTTTCAAATAATCTTTACCAGAAAATTGCCACTACGTAATGCACTGTGTCTATCATGTTAAACCATACATTAGACACAAACTCCGTGAAACAGCCACTGTTCTTCAGTAATTTGAGCAGAGATAAAATGCTGAAGGAACAGCAAGGATGGCTTTGCAAGGATGGACTCTTCACATTAAGCACCATATTGAAAGAACATAGATGGATTAGTGTGTTCAGTTTCACACACAAAATTCAACCTTTGGCACTAGGAATCAAAGCATTTTGTCATGTAGCATTGACACACATTACAAAAGTGCATAGTGGGCCCAGCGCTGTGGCTGAGCAGCTAAGTCCTCACCTTGAACCCGCCGGGATCCCATATGGGTGCCAGTTCTAATTCCTAGCAGCTCCACTTCCCATCCAGTTCCCTG